TTGCAGGCCTTGTGTTTTTGGCCTTGCTTCCTCGTCTACGGTTACGACCTCTCCCCCCCTTCTGACTCCCTTGCTCCCCTTCTCCCCTTTCTTCAAATCCCCGCCTAGCCTCTCACTGTCTGGATCCTTTGCGGGGTATATGGCTTACTCTGATTACTCTCTTACCCAATCCGTGGATTTCGAGTAGGTGGATGGAATGGACAAAGCCCAAGGCAATATCAAGGATGTAATCAAGGTCATGGCTTTAAAAAAGAATGCCCATGTCAAAGAAATTCAGGATTTTCTTGAGGCTGACGTCGAAAGCAGGCTCAACCTCAAGCCTGAGAACTGTAGGGAGCTTGCATACCCCCTGTACTCCACCCCTCTTGCCATTGGCGTTACTCCTTCCCCTACCCACCCTGCAGCAAGAAAGAACACCTTGGCGTCAGTTAGAAGGTCCCCCAGGATTTCTCAATCTTCTTCAACCTTATGAAGATCCTTGCTTCAAACGTGAGGGGTCTTGGTCAACGCCAAACACGCAAATGCGTCAAAGACTTTTGCTCGCAATTTTCACCTTTAATCTTAGCTCTTATTGTAACCAAGTTTCCCTATCCCAACCTCTCCCAGACCAGATTCGCCAGGTGTGGAGACACAGACCTTGTCAATGGGAAGTTCTTGAGGCCCAAGGGGCTTCCGGGGGAATCTGGGGCATTTGGGACCCTATAGTTCACTCCTTACTCCAGTCCATGGTGAAGCTTTAGTCGGTTGCCCTCTCACCAGAATCTCGGATGGCTTCCTCTGGAACTTCTCGGTCATCTACGGGCCCAATCGTGCAAATCTCAAGAACTTTTTGTGGACTAAATGGACGAGATCGTCTCCTCTCTCCCCCCCCAATTCCCTTGGTGCCTCGGGGGAGACTTCAATATTACTCGGTGGTCTCATGAAAGAAATTCGAGTTCTTCAATCTCGCGTGGCATGCTGGAATTCTCAGACATTATTCCTAAAACTGAATAGCTCGATATTCCGCAAGGGGCTAACTTCACTGGGTCAAATCATCATTCCGATGCTTCTTTGTCCAAGTTGGATAGATTCCGCACCAACATCCCTTGGGACGAAGCCTTCCAGCCTTCCTTGGTACCCTTTCCTTGGCCCTGCCCAAGACAACCTCAGACCACAAGCCTATTCTACTAGATACTCAGTGTATCTAGAGGCCCCTCTCATTTCAGATTTGAATTATCCTGGCTGCAAGAGCCCAATTTCTCTCCTCTCATTTCTACTTGGTGGAATTCTTTTTCCGCCTATAGCCACAGTTGGGCTGGCTTTTGCCTCCAACACAAGTTGCGGCTGCTCAAATTTAAGCTTAAGATTTGCAGTTGCCAACTCCCAGGAAATTTCCTCTCCCAGAAAACCGAACTGTTGGAGTCCATTCGCCTACTTGATCTCACCGAGGAGTCTAGACCTTTAATGCAAGGAGAAGTTCAGCTTAGAGCCCAATCGAGGATTGAGTTCCACTCCATCCTCCAAAAAGAAGGGATCTTTTGGTTCCAACGATCTAGAATCTGTTGGCTCGAATTTGGAGACAATAACACCGCCTTTTCCATAAAATGGCCCTCTGCCACAGGCGAGACAACTCCATTTCCCTAGTCAAAATTGGAGACCAGATTTTTGATAGCCCCCACCCACCCCGTCCCCCTCCCCCTCCCCCTCCCGCTCATTCGGGCCACAACTACTGAATTTTTCAGCACCCTCTTCATGGCCCCCTTAGGCCAGAAACCCATCATGGACGATCTATCCTTCAACTCTATCCCTCCGGAGGCAGCAGTCCATCTAGAACGACCCTTTCGGCCATCAAAGCGCTTGCCCAGGATAGGGCCTCGGGCCCTGATGACTTTCTTATGGCATTCTTTAATACTTCCTAGGGGACCCTCAAACCAGATATCTTAGCCTTTTCTACAGAATTCCATGAGATGGGCATCATTCACAAACGCTATTTTCATTGCCTTGATCCCCAAGATTGGGGCTGAAGAACACAAAAGATTTCCGACCTATTAGCCTCATCAACAGTCTTATAAAATTCTTTCCAGGGCCTCTCTCCCCGCCTCCGTGAAGTTTTAGAATGGGTCATCTCCCAAAACCAAGGGGCCTTCGTGAAAGATCAGGAAGTTTAAGATGGTGCCCTCATTGCTCATGAATCCATTCATTCTAGACACCTATCTAAAATGCTGAGCCTCATTGTAAAGCTCGGCTGGGAGAAAGCCTACGACCATGTGGATTGGTCGAGTCCATTCTCGACAAGACCCTCCTTCGTATGGGGTTTGGAAGCTGATGGAGGGTTTGGGTCCGTGGTTGCATCTCTAGCCCCATGTTCTCTATTTTGATCAATGGATCTCCGGTAGGCTATTTCAAATCCTCTAGGGGTCTGAGGCAAGGCGACCCCCTCTCTCCTTTCCTCTTTGCTATTGTCGCCGAAGTTTTAGTAATTCGGTTGCTAGACTGTATAAGAGGGGTTGGATTACAGGTTTTAAGTCTAGTACCTGCGGACCTCTGGTGTCACACCTTAGATATGCCAACAATGCACTCCTTTTATGTGATGCGGATACCTTCCTCCTTTTTCTCAAACTCTTTGAACTAGCTACAGGTTTTTGTATCAACATGTCTAAGACCAAGATGATGGGGGTCTGTACCGAAGTCCATACAGTGCAAGTCCTTGCCAAGAGGTGGGGATACAAAGCCGATAACCTTCCCTCCACCTACCTAGGCTTACCTCTTTGCCTGGGAAAACCCAGTAAACGCCGTTGGAGCCATGTTATTGATAAAGTCGATAGGAGGCTGGCAGGTTGGAAAGGTAGATTCCTTTCCGCTGGTGGTCAAGTCACCTCGATCAAAGCCACGATATTGAATGTTCCGATATTCCAAATGTCTATGTTTCATATGCCCTCCTCCGTAGCCAAAATTTTCTTTGGTCTGGTGAGGGAGGAACAAAGAAGATCCATTTGGTTTCTTGGTAGAGAATCTGCCGCCCCAAGAGCGAAGGAGGACTTGGCATTCACATTCTCAGGCTTAATGACCTCACCCTTCTCGGCAAATGGTGGTGGAGATTGTCCATCCTTGATAACCAACTTTGGTAGACCATCCTTCGCTTCAAGTATCGCTGCCACACCCTGAGCTGGACTCCTCCTTTCCCCTCCACCAGTAAACCTTCAGGCTTCTGGAGATCTATCACCCGATGCCTTTCTGTTATCTGTGCCAATATCCGTTTTCACCCAAGACATGGGAATAGGATTCTCTTCTGGTCTGATTGCTGGTTGGGCCACACTCCCCTATGAAACCTCTTCCCTAGAGTTTACCTCTTTGCCAGGAACCCCAGGGTGTCCGTAGCCGACTACTTTGAGAGCTCAGCTTCTTTAAGGGTTTTCAGTTCAGAAGGGCTTTATCGGAAGAAGAATTTGCAGACTTCCTATGCCTTTGTTCCCTAATCCACTCCTCACCCCTACCTTCTTCGGGCAGTGATCGTATTCTGTGGTCCCCCAACCCAAGTGGCCTCTCTCAGTGGCATCTTTTGACAGTGTTCTTCTGGCAGCCAAGCCCCTTCCGAGCGGTGCCCTTCCTGCCTGCTCCAAAGCGTGGCTGTCTTTTTTTCCCCCCAAAGTTTAAGCCTTCTCTTAGATTGCCATTGCCCACAGAGCCTTAACAGTTGATCATCTCCAGAGGAGAGGCATTTCACTCCCCAATAGATGCATTGTGTGCCAGGAAGATGAGGAATCAAATGATCATCTTTTCATCCTTGTTGTGCCTTAGCACAGGAACTATGGGGATACATCCTCAGGCTCTTCCATTGGAAGTGGGTAACCCCCCCTCGATTACCCATATCTTCACCTCTCTCCACCCTTGGCCTTGGTCAAATTCAGGAATTCTCCTTTGGCAAGCCTCTATTGCTGCCACCCTGTGGGTAATTTGGTTGGAAAGAAGCCACAGAATTTTCCATGGTGCGAGATCCAGCCCTCCTGATATGTTTAATCATATTCTCGCCCTTGTCCTTTTTTGGGCTTCCAACCATGACCTTTTCAAGCACTTTTCTTTGGCTGCTTTCTTCAGAATTGGTATCACTTGCTCTACCTTAGGCTGTCAAGAATTACAAGGGCATCACTGTAGAGACCCCCAGAGACGGGGCAATCCAAGTTGAACTTCGATGGCAGTTCTCTCGGCAACCCCGACCCGGCAGGCATAGGAGGACTTTTCAGGAATTCCTCAGGTGACATTCTTCTCTCCTACTCTCTCCCAATTGGCCACACTGATTCTACCTCGGCTGAATCCCAAGCCCTTTTGAAATCTTTAATCACGATTGGGGACCTGACCTCGTCATTGAAGGGGATTCGAGGAATATTTTATCTTGGGCAGCAAATTCTGCTCCCTGCCTGTGGAGGCTGCTTCACATTTTTTATCAAATTTATCATTTATGCAGAAATCTATATGTGTCTTGGAGACATACATGGAGGGAAGCAAACGCCGAAGCCGACGCCTTAGCGAAAGGAGGAGCAGCTCTCAATCCTTGAAGGAACCTTTTAGGTTTTCTCTCCTCTGCTCCTACCCTCTGGAGCAGGCCCCCAAACTTGTAATTTTGTGCATACATACAGGCTCATTGTCTAAAGCCCATCTTTTTTGCTTTCTGGGCATCACTGATATGCTATAAAGTCCACCCCTTGTGTGGTGTTTCATTTGTACTCTCTTAAACTCAATACAAGTTGACTTTATCAAACAAAACAAACCATGCTCAAATTAAAAAATAATGGAACCTTTGATAAATTCTCTCTACCTATGCAAGATTTTCATAGCATCTCACTCTTTAAATGCACTTCCTTTGCATGTTATCAATCTGTACTGCCAAGTAATGTCTTAGGCCTCCTCACTAGTCTTTTATTGGAGAATTTTCTTTCCTCTCTTATTGTCCAAGTTTTTCATGCTATGCATGTCACACCAACTGGTTTAAAATTTGCCTCACTCTACAATTTCATATTTTACAGCCCAAACAGATTGAAACGAGATAGGAAGCCAGCAACAGAGAGGGAGCACTTTGGTCTCACCGATCACGATCATAGGTACAGGAGGCGATTGCAAGATGCATTACCACTTGAGGCTCCATTAGAGGCACCTGAGTCCAAGATATCATCATCTTCAGCCGCTGCAAATGAAGTATCAAATGAGGTCTTTGAGAAACCTGATACTTTGAAACCAGGATCCAACTTAACTGAAGTACCTCGGTCACTGTCTTATTTTCAGGTTCCATTTCACCGTATTTTGTTGAAAAATCTACCATCATTTAAATATGGGAGAATAAATATATGAATTTGTGAGTACATGGCCTTTTTCTGGTTTCAATCAAAATTTAAGGTTTTCTATGACTTGTCAGTAATTCTCTGTTCCTTCCATTCGAAACTGCATATTTTCAAAATGAAATCTGTTCCTTCATTCATGGGGTTTGTGCATCCCTTTGTTGCTTATTCTCTTCTAAGCTGTTGACTTAATTGGTTTTTTTTTTTCGTCTCTTTTCTTCTCATTTCTTTCATATTGGGGGAAAATATCAGGACCCAACCTGGAACACCTTCCTAGATCTTACAGCTGGTTGGGAAACTAGACAATATCAAGATGGTACTGGCTGGAACTGTCATGTTTTTTGAAATGACTATTTACCACAAACCCAACGACTAAAATGTGGAACAAGCAAGGGTAGAAGGTTGCTGAACTGGGGGTAAAATAGTCATTAAAGAAGGGATGGGTCTGACTAGCTGCATGAAATCTCAAGTGTCCTTGTATTATGATCTATGCAGGATTTCTCTCAGTGAGTCCTGGTATTCCTGTACCCGATTTGTTTACTTGATGAGCATGGTAAACATACAAAGGGCCTATCCAGAATAAAAAGAGACAAACAAGGCTTGTTTGGACTTCAGAGATGGATGGGATCTGGTGCACCTGTCAAATTAGTTATCTGTTCCCTGATGTGGTTTGATCTTTAGATTCAACTTCGTCATTTTTCTTATATAAGTCATTTCTTTTTCATAAGTAGTTAAGCAAAGTTTAAGTTATCGATTTTTTATGCTTTTACAATATTTCAACTATGTTGTGATGTCATGACTTTCTGAAAATGCCAACTTTGTTGTGAGGGCATTATTTGTTATTTCTTTTTTTGAACAATTATAATACTTTTTATTTTTGGAGAAATATTTTGTTGCGGTACTCATGTATGCTATGTGAAATTATACTAAGCTCTATATCATGGTCACCATCATCATCATCATCATCATCATCCGAGCCTTATCCTAATTATTTGGGGTCAGCTACATAAATCCTATTCTTCCGCTCTTCTTTATGAAAGGCCATATCCTCAGTAAGACCACATCAAAAATATAATTGCAAGGGTCGTCAATGTCCAATTTGATGGGTTTGGCAGTGAGTGAGAGACTACATTTGCAGTCATGATACGTTTAGCATGTGCCATGCTTTCTAGGTCACCTCCCACTGAACCTTATGACCGTCTATTTGATGTTGTCATATGAATCATATTATAATTTTCCTTGTACTGTTGTTATCTTGCCCATAGTTCCCAAAGACAAATTCCGGGGGCCCCTTGGTACTTTTTTCCATTTCTTGAAATGTTCATATAATTGATCATGGATACATATCTTTTTATTTATTCTAGTGCCATTTCTCTATGGGTTTGGATGTGTTTTGAAGTGCCCATGCCCTTGAGGTAGTGGTAGTTTGGTGCAATTCTTCCGAGCCTCAGGTTTTTAGTAATTCGCAACAATTTGAAGAAATGATTTCTACGACTTGTTTGCTAGGTTTTATTTTGAACATAGGCTGTGATGTTTTCTCTTGTTGGATAAGTTGGTTGTCTTGCCTTTGAGGTTGAAGCCCTGTAGTTTGTATTTTGGATCATTGTGGTTTTTTTTTTCTCTTTTTTGAATTTAGAAGGCAGAGATTTCAAGTATATAATTTTGAATTTCTTATGAGGTTTAATACAATTTCTGGCCTCATCATTAACTCACAACTCCCTTAGCTTAGCTTCATGCTCAGTTAGTAGTCGGGCATCTGAAATTCCTGTTTGTCTACTGTGAATCCTGTGCTTCTTATGTTCCTCCTCTTGATAGATAATCCTTCGCTTCACATTTTACTGTGAAGTTGCATTCTATAGTATTTGTTTTTGGTAAGATTATGTTTAATGACAATTAAGTATGCATCATTCCTGGCTTAGCTAATTTTCTCTTTTTGTGGGGAGCACATCATGTTATCTACAATTAATGGGGTAGAGAATATAATACATTTAAGAGGGTGTGCTTTTGCATTTTTCACTACATCCGAACTGTTTTATTTCATGTAGTGAGACTCTTGTTGCAATGTGTGCCTTTGAATGCCTCAGCATATAACAATCTAGGGCTACCTATGCATGTCTTGTACAGCATGATGAGCGTGGCACCCCGGGTCAAGGTGGCCGATCCCTTGGTCATAGAAATCAAGGTGACTAGCTGAAGTTCATATGCCATATTTTTGCGACTTCTTTATTTATTTTCAATTACTATTGCCCTTTACTATCACATTCGGTTTTCCTGCTTTATTTTCTATGACATATTTTGATTGGTTTCTCTCTCATCTCTTCTGGGCGTAGAGCAGGTAAGGGGGGTGATTCGAGGGATCGGTTTAGAGAGCGTTCAGGAGTCAAGGTGGTCGCTCATGGGCAAAGTGATGAGAGGATTCAACCCAAGCGAAATGACATGGGGGCCTGGCGGCATGATGGATTTTTTGAACTTGAATCCGAGGCACCCCCTGTGAAAAAAAGGCCAGCATTTAGAGAGAGAAAGCCACTACCTGAAACAGAGAACCCTGTTCCTGAAGTCCCTGCTTCTGTTCCTGAAGTCCCTGCATCTGATAATCTCAATCGCTCTAATAGGTCTGCTTTGAACAGTTCCAAGCGGGAGGAGAGAGAAGGAGACCAATACCTACATGGGAGACCCACCACTGATTTTGTGAGAGAAAGGTTTGCACGGGTGGGCGACCGGCCTTATGTGAAAGATGATGGACAGAGAGAGGGGTTTCAGCACAGGGAAAGGTATGCGTCTGGGGGTAGCAGCAGGGGAAGAGAGAGATTCAACGGAAGATACAACGCAGGAGACAGAAACCGTTATAGGGCAAGTGCTTCACGAGGAGAGAAGTGGAAGCATGATCTCTTCTATGAAGCTAACAGGAGCCCAACACCAAAGAATGAAGAGGATCACATTGCTAAGGTTGAGGCCCTTCTTACTTCGTAGTAGTATCTTTCCTTCCCAGTTTCCTTGTTCTAGTTGAAGGTCTTATTGTACGTTGTTTGGATGGATAAATGCTGATTGTTCTTGATTGTTTTGCAAGATGGACACAGGTTGAATTTTTCCTTGTATTTCTTTCATTTTGGAACATTGGTTAAACTGGAGTTTCAAAACAGCTTATCTTCTTCTCTTTCTTTAGGTTGCCATTCCATAGAGAGGTGCCTACTTTTGGGAGAATATTTGGTAAAGAGTGTATATAACTAGGGCTGCTAACGGGCCGACCAAGACTGACCCGAGGCCCAGATAAGGCCGGCCCAGAAAGTGTCCATGAAAAGCCCGACTTGGCATGGAAATGTAACAGTAAAGACTGGGCTGGCCCGGCCTGTTGAGATCATTGGGCTGGACTGTATTCAGAAGCCCCCATTTTCTTTTCTTTTTCTGTATTTCACTCTGCAAACTTTTCTTGGTGGTAAGCCAAAAAAAAACATATGCAAAATTTTTTTTGAGAGAGAAAGAGAGATTGGGTATCTAGAGTGGGTTTTAGAAAGATTCAATTTTAGAGAGAGAAAGAGTGGGTTTTTAGAGAGAAGGAAATATTGGGTTTTTAGAGAGAGCGGGAGATTGGGTTTTTTCAGAGAGAATGAGTTTTTGGAGCGATTGGATTTTCAGAGAGAATAAATTTTAGAAAGAGATTGGGTTTCTAGACAGAATAGGGTTTTTAAAAGAGAAAGATAGTTTTTAGAGAGAGCGCGAGGAGGTTTTAGATAGAGGTTGTGCTTTAAGAGAGAATGAGTTTTTAGAGAAACATTGTTTTTTTTGGAGAGAGATTAGGTTTTTAGAGAGAATGAGATTAAGAGAGAAAAAGATAGATTGGATATCTAGAAAGAATGGGTTCTAATTTTTTTCCAAAATATGTTGTCAATCTGTTTGTTTTATTTATTTTTGGCCTACTATAAACAAAAAAAGTTTGAACAGGAAAGATCGATTAAGAAAAAACAAATAAATGGACCGGGTTGGGCCTCAATATGTTTGGGCTTTCTAAGCTAGGCGAGCCCATTCGGCACATCTTCGGGCAATTTGGCCAGGTCTAGGACCCAAATAGGCTCCTCAGCAATCCGAAATCATGCTTGGCTCGGTGGCCCGACACCCGGTCCGGACCATTAACAGCCCTAACCATAAGACTTGACTTTTTATACAAGGAGATCACAACTATTATGGATTATTAAATATGAAATCAGGTGCTTAGAAATGTGTTAGGCACAGTATCCAAAATAAATTTTTTTGAATATCGTGATATACTTTAATCCGTTAAATATCACATGATAAGAATTATTATGGCCTCTTTATATCAAAAATAAATAATATCATAGTATACCATCCCAAATATTAAAACCAAGAGACCTTACATGTTGACCTGACATTCGTTCTTAAGTTGTGGCATCGCATATGCTGATTGAACAAAACAACCATCCCCCAAGCAAGATGTTGATCTCACCTCCCTCTCTCTTCACTCTTTCCAATGTTCATCATAGCAAATTCAAAATGATTTTGAATTTTGAATTTTGAATGCGACTTGTTTCTCATGGTATCAAGTAGCGGCGAATCACTCATTTCATTACAATGATCTTCAATCTAAAGACCCAAAGGTTATTTCTATTTTAGATCAACCAGCCTCTCAATTATTATACCCTAGGATATCACAATCATTTATTCACATGCTTATGCCCTTTGAGCGCTTTATTTGGTCAGTTTTATTGGCAGTTCAACTCTGGGAATTAGCTTTCCCTTTTATTTTGGCAAGCAAGCTTGATGGTGCCAGTGGCCGATTTCGAGGTGGGTTAGGCCTGGTCCTACCCTTACCCATGTCCCTACAGGACTGGCCCAAGCCTTGCCCAGCCCTAACAAGGCTGAAGAGGGCAAATACAATAGAAGTAAACCAAAGAAAGCAACAAGAAAAGGACAGGGCCGGCCTTGTCCTCGAGGCACATGTTGTGGCCAGGCGCTTATTATTTAGTGTCGGGTTGTTCCAATGGCCCATTGCTAGCCTTAAAGCTTTATATTGATTATTGAATGACACCCCCTTAGTGATATTCCATTTTGTTTTAAAGTTTACAGGTAAACTTTAAATTACATCACCCTTAAACCCGATATGATTCTTTTGTTGTTATGGCAAGTAAGCTTGACGCCTTAAATGCATCGCATGTTACATGGTAATGGCCAAAAGAGTGGTGGGGGTTGTTAGTAATGCTCAACTGAACTTTCTAGTCTTTTTTGTTGCAATGCTTTATTGACAGTGGTGAGCCGGCGGCTGGTTGAGGTCAAACGCGCTATGCCCGCTTCGGTTTTCTATTAGAATTCAGTGCCCGAAAATGTGGTTCGGGGTTAGACACTGCCACCTCTGCTCTTTACTCGGTCAAGTCGGGTTGACGGTAGTTTTGCCCCCAGTTGCCTAAAAAAACAAAAAAATATGAGGGAAAAATCTAAAAATTTATTAGAAAAAAAAAAGAACAAAAATGTATAAAAGACTATTAAAAAATATATAATAGATGAGAAAAAAAAATCAGAATTACATAAAATCGGAAATTGGGAGTGTCATTTTCTCAAGAAAAATAGGGGAAATTGAAGACCAGAAATATGTAAATATACACATACAAATTTAATTTTGAATCACCTATAATTGATTTAGTGAAACACAAATCAATTATATGAATCTAAATTGAAAAATTAAATTAAATTTACGAGAAATTTTGAGCCTGATGCCTCAATTGTTGTTGCATCTTGTAAAGGTGCGCCGAAATTGCGTCCTCAAGAATCATACTTGTTCACTGAACCGACACTTCTGCGATTGCCTCATTATTATGCTAAATCATTCTCCTTGCCAAAATAACACGTCTCAATTTCATGACAACATCCTCAGTGAGAATAAGAAGTACGATTTGAACTATATGATGAGAACCAATCTTCTTTTCATGAGACAAGAAAGATAAAAAAACAAGATGAATCATTGTTCCCTATGGTAATTTGATGCAGATAAAAATTTTAAAAATAAAAAATGTTATTTTATTATTATTATTTGTTTATTTTTTTTAGAAATAGGAATTACGTTGGGATAAGTTAGCTGACAGGTTTTTTGTGTATGAGTTGTTACCTATGAATGCCTATGGTTTGGTTTAAGAAATGACTTATCTTTTTAGATAAGTAGAAATTATTTTTTATTATCTTTTAGAAACAGAAAATAGGGATAAATGGAGATTGAGATGTAGATGAGAGTTAAAGAGAAAGAGATAATAGAGAATTTATTTTTTGTCGCTTGTTTTATTTATCTATTTATTTTCTTCTAAGTGTATTTAAAGGGGAGATACCCCTTCATAGTAAATAAATAACAAAGATTGGAATTAAGTAAAGTTGATCTTGTGAAAAAATATTTTGGATTGGAATTAAGTAAAGTTGATCTTGTGAAAATATCTTTTGGGGGTGGATTCCATTGTAGACCTTGAGAGATGGTACGTTATCTCACATTTTTATTTTTTTTTTATTATTTGGTTTGTTATTATTTCTCCTTGCATTAGTTGGTATCAAAGCCGTGAGATTCGTGCGGTTATGGCATGTTTTCGCTTCGGTCCTCATGCAGACGGGTCACGCATGCGCGGGGAGAAAACCCTCTCGCAAACACCCGCGGGGATCCTTGCGTGCCGGACACCTGCAAGTGCGCATGCGCGAGCTCTTCTGGGTGCGGATAGGAATCAACAACGAGAGATTTTTATGGTGGGGGTGCGCTCAAATGCTTGCTTCGCCCTCTGAGGTTCGTGGGATACGCTCGAGTGGTTCGCCCTCTTAGAACAATCATGAAGCCCTCCGGCTGTCTCCCAGCGCGGTTTAGACGGGGACTCTCTTCAGGCTTTCAAAAGATCTCTTCTTTCTCTCTCTCTCTCTCTCTCTCTCTCTCTCTCTTGCTTTCAACTACAATGAGGCTCGATTATCCCTCCTGCGACAATTCCCTCGGAGAGGCTGGCTGGCTAGTGGAAGGGTGCGAGAGAACTCGACGATTGGGACTCGTGGGTTCATTCGGGACTGCACATCTGTTGCGGACATGAGCCACTGCGTAGGGCAGGCGATGCATAGAGGAGAAGAGAGAGAGAAGGGTCGGGATGTGGCCCAGCTTAGGAGAGAAAGAGAATGGGTCAGCGCACTCAGAGATGTTTTCTCTTTTCAGGAAGGAACGAGACCGTGCACTCAGGGGTATTTGCTCTATCCTCTAAGCGGGATTAAAAGTTTAGGAGCAAAAGACGAGTGAAAATAAGCATTATGTCTATGTTATAGTGATAAATAGTCCGCAATAATCTGCCTTTTTACAAATGACTTAAGTTTGTTTATGTAGAGAACTCATCGAACAAGGGTGAATGCTAAAAAACTAAGCTTAATTATAATTAAATAAATTAGAATAAAATCCCGAAATTAGGTACAATGACCAAAACGACCCTAAAATATTTTATACTAATGACAAAACCTCTCTAAGGGCCTCCCGCCATTGTCAGATCTTGGAAGATTTTCCCGAAATTTGCATCAATGGTCCAAACAATTTGCCACTAGATCTTCAGTATCATTCCGATTTTGAGTATTTTGATGTCTTTTAATCGTGCTGGGGCAGCATTTTTCCCATGGGGTGGAAGTCCGGCTAGTGTTTGTGAACTTTGGTCGCCAATGCCATTCGACCTGCGACACTTTGAATATTTTCTCTGTTTGCAAATCAAAAAAGAGACCGTTGCAGTCGTTTTGCACTAAGTTTGGTCCGTTTTGGCATTTGTTTGCAGCTTTGCCTAATTTGGGAGGTCACCTGGAAAGGGGGATTCTGGCAACCGAGCGGTGTTGCTTCTTCTGCAACCTGAGGATTTATACTTATCTGACATTCGATTGAATGCGAGAGTTATACCAGTTTGTAGCTCTTCGCGAGGTGGTTGCATTGAACTCATCTTCGTGATGATCTGATGCGTGGATCTCGAGATGTACTTCACGAGGTTCGAGATGTCCTCTTCTTAAAACCTTGATTTTTTTGGTTTTGTGGTTACTTTCTTTTTAGAAGAAGTTTGACTCTAGTTCGCGTCGCAGTGCATGCCCTAAGTCAAAATGACAGGGCTGGTGTGATCTAGAACATATCCAAAGTTGGGCTTTTTTTGGTTCTAGACGAAGTTGCCATGGGTTCTTGAAGTCCCTCTCGAGATGTGATGTTGCAATCTTCGTGCTTGGGGACTGGTTCAGTGAAGCCACACCACGATTGTGTAAAACCTGCCCGTTTTGAGGCCGTATGGGCATAGGCCCCTTTTGGGTGGTCCGATTGAGCCCAAATTTGGTCTTCGAGGGTTTTTCGACGTTCTGAATGCAATGACGGTGGTTTAATACTTTTCTGAAGCTGCTAACACAAGATAATTGTAAGGTCTT